TGAAACGTAAAACAATTGCTTGCAGAAAGCTCTCTGGTGACACAGATGGCATTTCTGCTTCCTGTGGGAAAACAAAAGTGCTTCCATGCAAACCAGTTCATTAGGTTTTATGGCTAAAACTATCAAACAAAATATACTTTTTTCCAAATATATTATTTCTAGTGCTGGTGTGCAAACTAAATTTGCTAAGTGAAATTCTTAATAGAAATCTGAAGTTCAGTGTATCTTAATTCTCTATTTGCTCTGGAGAAACCATGGTGCTGACTCCTGGACATGACCTAGGATCCTGTAGAGTTCCCAGGAATATAAAGTTACACTAAATTACTATTTTAAAAAACTTTCCTGGAAAGATTAACTATCTATTGCAGCAAATACAGTATAGTAATGCATTATATATAAGGAATACATATCAAGATTAATTTTTAAAAACTTAATTGAAGGAGAACACTCAATCTACTGGAAATCTGTATTGTTCTTAAGTAAAAGTACTGAGTGGCCCAAGCTTACTCCAGCTTCATGTCTGAAGTTGCAAAGGACCAATGGCTTCGGTGTTACAGGCTGGTAGAAAGTTTAGCATGAATAGAGTAATACTTCTTCAAACACTTTTATAAAAGAATCACCAGTGTAAAACTACATGAATATTAAACAGGAAAGCAGCTAGACTTTCTCATCTCTCTCTCTGGACAGACTAGACATAACCTATAGCTCAATTTGTTCTCTGAGGTTACCTGAACTGGTCTGAACCTATAGGCTGTGGATCTGTTTTAGCTGCTAGATGTGAAACTGTTTCTTGCCATCATGGCCTTAAAGTCTTCCCTTCTTTTTGGCCTTACTTGGACTAAAAGCAGTACAGTATTGCTTGTAAGCATTCTAAAGCTTAATTTATATATCTGGTGTGTTTTCTTGTGTAGTTAGCTATACTTCTCTACTTGTTCTTTCAGTTAGCTGTAGTTTTTGTGTTCTATGTCCCGTGAAGGTTCAATGTAATGGAATTTGCTCCATTGAACATGAGATTGCAGGAAGAAACCATGTGCTTTGGCTTCCAATATGCTATTAAGAGGTCTGTGATGGCAAATGTAAAGTGATTATTCTCACTGAGCATGGAAACACTGTGAATCTGAGATGCAGTTGAGATTCATATTCACATGGGAATATTTTTTAGCTTCCAAAGGCGGTCCAAGGGTGGGAAATGGATGCGTAATAACCAGTTTGGCTTGATGCATGTGCTCAGAGGATTAATGAAACGGGCAGCTCAATTATGTGGAAGAAATAATCACATACTGACTTTTTGTTTCATTGTAGATGAAGCTGTACTTCATCTACCGTAGTAGAATGGTGTGAATCTAGCATGAATCTAGTCAGGTCCCCTCTGAGACTTTTTGCCTACGTTAATAATTTAATTAACAGTCTTATGCTAATATGTGTTTCTTAGCCTTATTTTCTCAGTAACTTTTTGTTTCTGATGCTATATAGTAGTAGTGTTCCACAGCTTTGGAACATGAATTGAATAACTGAATTGTAGGAATAACTTGCTATGTTATTGAGAGACAATGAGCTGACATGGACCACTGTGAGTCTGTGAATAAGTCCCAACTACAACAGGACCCATATGTACATCACAACTTAAATACGTGCTATGCTTTCAGCATCTTTTTAATGACAGTCATTTAACTATTTAGGCCACATGCTGCTCTAGGGAGAATACACTGGAATTTGAACTAATGTTATTCTTTGATTTATATCAGGGCTTAGTCAACATATGAAGGTTCTCTTTTTTTTTTTTTTTTTTAACTTAGAATGGCTGGAATGAGGAATTACTGTCAGACCTATAACCCTTCATCTTTCATTTTCCTTTTCAGGCTATTGTCCATACTCTTGATCCTTGAGGAGAAGGAGACGTTGATAAGAACCTTTAACTATGGGAGATCTCTACAGATCTTCAGAAATAAGAGATAGAGGAGTCAGAGATCCTGATTAAATACTTTATTTTGAAGCAGTTTGTTGAGTATTTCAACTTGAAATTGGATTCTTTCTTATACAGACATGCAAATGCCAAATTTCAGAATATTCCATGATATAATAACAGAGTAGTTGTAGCCCTGATTTAGGTAATGGCTATAACAACACTTACTAAAACCTTGAAGGTGGCAGAGAAAAGGTATAATCTCCTTAGGGTCAGTGCTTGTTTTTTTATAGGCCTTCTGCAGAATTGAGATAGTTATACTCACATTGAAAATGCAAATGGACAATCTGACAATGTACCTCAGAACTTGGAGTTTTTTCCCAAATCTTTGTAGATGAAAAGTTTTATACTTTGGATCTATAAGTTTTAAGATAGATACAGAAGACAAATTGAGTTCTGGGAAGCTTTCTGCTTAGGCAGTTGCATTCTCTTAAACACCAGGAGCTTTGGAATGAATGTGGAGGTGTGTGTAATGTAATGTATCACATACAGACTTTCTTTGGTGCATAATGGAATTATAATTCCAAGGTCCGTGTGGATGCTGGGGGCAGGGAAATTTACATTATTCTCTGTTCTCTCCCAAGTCTGCAAGTACCCTCTGGTTTGTAGTATTGTTCTTTGGAAACCTTGCTCTGCAGAGGTAAAACCTGCATCTCTGGGGCCTAGAAAGTGAAACTGAGGAAGATACCCTCTACAAATACTGCTGTGTTTGATTAGCTGGTGATATAGTAGAGAGAAGTAAATTGAACGGTAGCAGTTTATTAATTTTAATGTGTTTTTTATTCACATGCTATTTTACTGTATTTTTAGTTTTCCGTATGTAAAATATGCAAAGGGCTGATTAATTAGAAAAGTCATTCTTAAATGTAAATCCACTGAACAAAACCCAATCTCTTTGCAGCAGATACATCTAAGAAAAATACTGTTTATTCACAGAGCTTGTATGTGGATATAAGAAAATATACTTTAGTTTGAAGTAGGTGTAAGATGGAAAAATGTTCTGAGTATGTGTGTACTAGTTAACATACAACACTCCACTTAATACCAGAATTCACTAAACTGTGATGCTCTTAGGGGGCACAAGCATATGCTATTCCTGGCTATCTCAGCTTAACAGCTGCAGACAACCTTGAAAAGAATTTCAGTAATCCTTGTAATGAACCTGTCATCTAAGCAGGGAATCTGCTGTTTTTTTCTCTCCAGCAACAGGGTCCTGGAGACCAGGACCTGGGGAAGCTTAGCTCAGGCTGTGGCATCATGAGATTGATCAAGCCAATCTTAACAACTCGCTGCCACTGGAAGGAGAGAGACTTCCTTTTTTACCCCTGCGCCCAGCTGTACAGCCCTGACACCATCATGGCCTCTGGTACCTATTGGGAACCCAGCTTACTGATCTGAGAACATTCCCCCTTAACCCTAATAATAAAAAAATTCCCAGACCAAAAGCCCTAAATATTTTCTGTTCAGAGTCTGGATAGTAGCTGGAGCAGGAAAGAGTCGAGTGGGCATACCAGTTTTGGTATCCGAGACAAAGATGGCATTTGAAGGCAACTGGATTTGGGGACCTGTGATGTGCTCGATTCAGAGAGACTGCAGAGGGGTACTCTTACTGCTTCCTTCTGAGGTATGAACAGTGGGCTATGGAGTGATGAAAAAAGGGGGCTATATACCACTCCCAGAAGTAGGGGGCCCTCCTATGTGGTTGGAAAGGGAATCAGTCCTGGGAGCATATTGCCCGAGAGTTGCAGGGAACAGAATGGGACACGTGTCCAGGAGAAGGCAGTTAGAACAGGCATGAGGCTAAAAGCACGAGCAGAGCTGACAAGACTGGTGGAAAGAGAGGCAGTGGCTGCTGGAGCCACACCATCTTCTCTTGTCTACTCACCAGCCAACACTGGACTCTAGAAACAAATGGAGAGGCAGTGGTGTGGTCCCAGCTGCCAGAGACTCCCTGTGCCAGCCTGTACACAGCTTGCAGTTCTTTACCCAGAGCGAGCCAAGACCACTTCAATCTGTCAAAACCTTTTTCCTACTGAGAGAGTAGTAAGGAAGCTACTGATTGGTGCTGACACATGTATCTTATTCTGGTGGTTCCTCCAGCTGTCCATAGATTCAAGATCTTTGCATTCCAGTTGTCACTGGTGTGTTTTCCAGATGAGCTCCTATTAATTTTTAGTCTGCAGGGTATTGTCCTTTCCTGCTTTGCAGCTGCTCATATTTTGAGTTGGTTCTAACAATAATTTGCCCAACAATCATAAAACTTTCTGTCAACAGTAGCTTATTCCTTAAAGAAAATAAACCTAAATGGCTTTGATGCCTTGCAGGTTATCCCTGAAGAGGCTAAGTTTTGCAAGTGACTTGTGTCTATTTGATGTTCAAGCCTACTGTGAGCTAAAGCCAAGTATTACCTTCCATGGTTTTGACATAGCTCAGATTTGCAGCCCTTTGCCTTCTGTTTACATCTTCCTATTCCACCCGCAGTTCCCCTGCAGCAGCCTATCTTCTGGGATACATTCCACACGAACATGTTCCTGGTTTGAGGATTACTGCTGTAAACTGAAGTCCTGCAGCAGTCTCACAAAGAAGTGATGATTTTATGTGCTAAGGGATTTGCCTGAAACTGTGACTATGATTCTTTCTGCACTTTGTGTTTACTTGTGTTACATTAGTGCAAATGAGATCACAATCAGATTGTGGATTTAGTGCTGTGTTCGTATGTAAGTGCGTTTAAAAATATAGAGAAAAAACTTAAAATTTTGAATTTTCTCTCTTCACCTTTCCTACATAAGGCAGGTATTGCTCTAAAATTACCTAGTTTAGGTAAGTGATCAGTTGTATGAAGTGTCTGTCTTAAAAGATATACATCCTAACTTCATGTTGTGCTAGAACATAGCCTTGAAGTCTAGAAGTGGAATAAAAATTTTAGCTTTTAATTGTTTGTAAGCTTACATAATTGGTATGCTCTCTGCCCCCCATTTTAATGGAGGAATATATAAATGAGTTGAATGGAAAAAAAAAAAATCTTTGAACACAGTTATTTGTGATGTAAGTCTATTATCTAGCTTTATTCTTTAACATGCATTAGCAGATAATTTCCTGTGAAACAAAGGGTGACCTAAGGTATGGAATGAAATGATGTAGAGGATCTCTCTCGAAAGTAACATATTTAATATAATTTTCATTTCTCGTATAATCTCACGTTTTCATGTAACAGACTGGCCACACATACACTATAAGAAATGGTAAAGCTCACTCTTGTGGTATAGTAGGAGAAGTGCAGAAGCAACAGCCCTTTATTCTTCAGTGATTTTTGTTTGCACATAAACATTAGAAGTGACCCTTAAACATGCTGCTTTCTGTAGATGGATACTAGATGGATATTTTCATTCTTCTTCTCTTGATGAACATGGTTTCTTTTGTTCTATATTTCTTTCTGTGGTCTAAGGAACTTTACAGGATTGATGCAGTGCACTGTCAGGCTGCTGGACACGTGTTTATGCTTACAGCACCACTAACCAAAGCGGCTTTACTAAAACTCACTGTTTTTTCATCAATCATGAAGTTACGAATGCAGCCAATGAAGGAGTTGCGTGTAGTCAGGCTGGATGTTAGCAGAGACTCTGGAAGAAGCAAATTTTAGAAAAATAAAAATCAGGGCTCATGATAACCAAAATAATCAGTTTGGTGGCAGAATCTTTTCAATTTTCTACTAACTACAGCTCTGGTGAATCTTGGTGACAGGTCTTTTAAAATGTCTGGCCTAGTGCCAGTGTCCTGGAGGCCATTAGAGTAGGTATGGGGATTTACCTACATTTATGTAAAACTCATGATACTACATAGTCAATGGAGGCCCAATCTTGCATTTTTTGACAACTGTGATTTCCTTTAAGAGAGTAGAGGAATCCCAGGGTGCATGTTTATAATTTCTTTTAACATTACATATATTGTCCTCTGTGTCTGATTTGTTAGTTTGCATTTGGTTTACTGTATTTACATGGTATTAGTTAGCATTATATCTTTGTTGTTGTGAAGTTCATTGTAAGATTTTTCTGTGCCATGGTGATAATAGCATTATAGAGCCAATATATGGCATTGCTTTAGTATTCTATAATTAATGTAGAAATAGAAGGCTCTATTATGAAGCAGAACAGCATTTGCAATTACCACTTCATATTACCTCTCTGGGTAGAGTTCTGTCCTAATAAAATTCCAGTTTGTATTTAAAGAGTGAACAGGCATCTGCACATAGATTTTATTATTCTCCTTAGGCTCATTTTTCCTCCTGGAAGTGTGGGATGGATGAGAACATCACGCACTCAAGCCACTAATCCAAGATGAGCAATATAATAAATTTTGTAGTTAGAGCTGTTCACGATTGACATGCAAGGCACAGAGAAATAATGCTGCATGTTTTCAATGAGAAATGTACAGGAGATGACTTAAAAATCAAATCACGTAGTGTTGATTACAGTTTGTATATGAACCCCAACAGAGTATCTCTGTCTGTTGAATAAGGGAAGTAAATGTAGTAATCTTGGCCCACACTACACAGATGGTCTGTGAGTCACAAATTCACATTACAAGACATCTGTGCAATAGAATTCACTAGACAGAAAAAGAATCTTCTTGTTTTGTCTTGTGTTCCAAGACACCATTGCTCGAAGAAGACGAAAGAAGCCTACCAGCAGCAAAACCTTGGGACTCCAGTTACAGTGACAGGGAGTTTCCAATCTCATAAATAAATAAAGTTCTTAAAAGAACGTTAAGTCCGTACTGGAAAGTAAAGTGGAAAAAAGCTATTTTTTTTCCAAGCTAGCTGACTTCTCTACTGAGTCCATACCTGACCCTCCAGCAACTGTGAATGTTTTCATTTCAATGAAGCAGCACTTTTTTTCCTTTGAGAACTCGAGGCAAAACATTTCTGATCAGCTCTTGAGCCTTTGAATTTTACCAGGTTGTTCACATGAGATATGTTTTCTTCTTGAAATGAAAACTAAGTCTATGCGCTTTCTCTGGAATCTCTGTTGAAATTTGAGAACAATGTACCAAAAAAAGCTGCCAAAAACTTACCTGGTACACCTCCAATAAACACTGGCTCCCTGTGGTCAATTGCCTTTGGATTTAGTGGCCCTACCACATGGTTGACTTCAGAGTCTACATCCAGCTGCACCACATTAGCATCTCTAATAACTGAAAGGAGAAAGAACAGCTATCAAGAAGATTGTAAGAACTAACACATGAGATTTCTGTGACAGACAGGAGTATCTGTTTGGTTCGAGTAGTTTGATTTAGTGTTTGCAAGACTGGGCGTGAGCCATCAGTACCAGTGACAGTATGTGGGCGAATTCTGGCATAGAGCAGGGCCAATGGCAGATAAGAGTGTGGGAGCACGGGAGCTTCTGAGTGGGGCTCTTGATTCCTGGCAGCTGTGTCTAGGCTGCAGGGTATGAGCATACAATGGCATGTGTCTTAGTAAAACTGTTTGCCAAATCATTCCCAGTAGGGGATGTCTTAGAATGCAGTGAGGTTTCCTCCTTGCTTGTGTGCCTGGGTTTCCTTCAAAGGGAAACCAGAAGGCATGGGGAAAGGGTGCACACTCAGATCTCCTTTGGATGCGACACTGAGAGGCATCCTAAGTCAGCATCTAGGCAGGAAGGCAGGGGAGTTCAAAGTACCTGGTGTTTAGAAGTACTCTTTGACTTTCAAACCTGGGAAAGAAGAAAGGCTGGCTGGTCCAGGGCAAAATCCTGACTGTAGAGATACCTCTTTGTAAGGCAGGGGCTCTCCAGATCTGTCCTGTTATTTTCCCTTTAAGGGCAGCATATACTTGTGCTTACTACATTCTACCAACTTATTTAACCTCTAATTGGGAAAATAATAATAGCATCTGGTATGTGACTTGGGAAAGGTTGCCAACATTTCAGCTAGGCTGTCTTGTGTTCTTTGAACAAGGAGCTTCCACCTTTGCTTGTTCTTTGTAGGGACTTGTGCTTGCCCTCTCAGGAAGCTCTACGGTTTCTATATCTGAGAGAGGAATACAACTGTCTCACACAAATTTGTGTCTTGACAGGTGAAAGGGAAGAACTGAGAATATGACTGCATTCCCAGTGTACTAGCCTGTGGAGGGGGAGACCGTTTGGGGCAGGAGAACTGGGCTCTGTCACCCTACTTAGGGGATGATCATGTTTTACTGACCTGCAATTCGGTGCCACCTGCCATCGCAGAGACTCTGTTTCAGTGTCACTGAAGTTGAAAAATCCCTGATTCCATTATTCAGTTTCACAGTAACCTGGAGGAAAATAATGTAGTCCTCACTGTAAACTCCCTCCTGTTTTCTCGTTTCCTTCTGTTATAATAATGCTGTAATTCCTGCTCAAAACATGTCTAGTATATAAGTGAAAGAAAAACACTTTCATGAAATTCTTTAAAATAAATCACCTTTCTAATGCACAGATTTTTTTTTTTTTCAGATTCAGTAGCTCTGCAATATTTCTGATCTGAACTCAAGGAAGAGTTCAAGAAAAGATTAAAAAATAACAGCTAATTTCACTCAAATTTTCTAGTACTGCTACTCTATAGTTTCCTGTGTGGTAAATTAGTGTTTAGAGGCATCAGATGATGTTTTGGCATCTTGCTAGCCACTTAGTAAGGAAAACAGTCATTAAAAAAACCAAGTATAAACAGACAACATGTGAGAAAAGGATAGGGAACTTAGGAATGACTTTTAAGTTACTTGTACAATTTGCCGGCAAATCTCTGGCAGAGCTAGAAAGTGAACCTAATTCTGAATTTAATCTCTGCTTTAGTTACGTGGATTAATATCTTTCTGGAAATGGTACGTGCAGCATAGTGTCCTTATTGCAGGGCACCAGATTCCCAGCGGTGATTGCCAGAGAACTCCAAATGCTGTGTCACTCAGGCTTTTCAAATGTCTAAGTTGTCCCTGCTAATGCTGGCACCTTGTTGACCGAAAATGTTGCAAGGAAACAACTTCTATTTAATTTTAGAGGATCTCTGTTTCAATATAGTTGTAACTAAGAAATTTTTAAACTTTGTTTCCACAAAGACACCAGCAAACAAAAATGAAGTGGTCCTCATGTTCTCTTTCATCCACCCTTGCACAAAATATATAGAAGCAATTAAAGCAAATGCAAAATCACGAAAGTGGCTCCTTAACAAATCACACAGGCAAGCTGTACTGACAGAGATGCCTAAATTTAAAAAAATGAATTAAAGGGGCTGATTGTTCTTATTTGTCCAGCAAAATAAGTCTTTGCTAATGCATTCAAAAAGAGCAGATAGTTAACGGTAAAAAACACAAATGCTTACTAAGAAGGTAACTGGCATACCTGTTGCAGTGACAAGCAGAGAAGAGCTGCTTTTCCAGGGTGAATTTTGTTTATGAGTTGCATATACAGGAAGTGAGGTTTGAAGCAGTAAGTGAAGCAAAATCTTTTGTTAGCCCAACTGTTGGAAAACCAGACAAGTTTCTGGACATGCAAACCTTCCATCAGCTCTTTACTTAACAAGTACTAGGCTGGACCACTTGTATACATATAGATGCAACCTTTAAGTGTGGCATGATACCTAGTGATGCAAGGTGCTTTAAGTTGTTCTTTGTTAATTCACCAGGGACTAGCTACAGCTGTGAGAATGGGCTTTATCTTACCTGATCAGCTGTCAAAATTTAGGTGCCTAACTGAAGCACCTGATGTCCTCTTTATAGTCAATACAGAAAAATAGATTCTCTGAATGACAGATCACTTAGGCATTTATATTAGACATCAGCTTTAGGATAGGGTGAATCACCATGTTAAACTGTCCACTCAGTCACTCTACTGTAGGTTCCTGTTCTGGTAAGAGAGGTGACAGCATGTTTCCTCAAGTGTTGCATTTCTAAGCAAGGTACAGCTAGCCTCACTTAAATACTCTTCCACTTTTGTTGACAGTTAGATACTGGGTAGTGCATTGCAGTGGTTAAAGAGTATTCACACTGCTTAGTCTCTTGACCATGCCCTAAGTTTCTTTCCTGCAAAAAAGAAAAAAAATTATTCCCCTGCTCTAAACCTTTGTTTGTTTTGTCCACTTACACTGCAACTTATTACTGTATGTGTGCAACGTGTAGCATGATGGGATCTAGATTTTAGTGGTGAACATAATAAAAAAATAGCAACAGCAACAACTGTCTGGTAAGTTCATCTCAAACCTCTCATTCAACTGACAGCCTTACAAAAATCCAGAGGCTCTAGAAACCAGATCAACAGACAATCAGAACTTTCCCTCATTCTCTCCATCACACACATATATGTTAAAGCAAGAAGAGACTGAGCGCAACTCAGACTTCTCTTTTAACAAACAAGAAATAAAAATTCATCAACAGTTACCTTACTTGTAACTCTTATACATTTTTAATGTGTGGATGAAAGAGCAACACCAAAGAGTCAGTGCTCTCGCTTCTTTTCAACTGCTCATTAAATATTTATAGTTGGCATCAGTAAAGTGATGTGATTTTGTCTTAGGTGTTGTTTTTTGTATTTTAAGAGAAATATCTAGGTTGCCTGATTTAAGCAGTTAATATATTTAAGAGAGAAATAAGAATCAATGAATGGCAAATTTGTAAGACAAAAGCTGCATATGGCAGAGTCCAAGTAGGAAGGGAGGGAACCAGTGAAAGCACTGGAGGAAATGTGACCTTCATTATACCTGTCCATTTCTCATGTGCATATTCAGGTACTCTCCATTCACACTGTGACCGTGCAGCAGAATTCCTGAGCTGCTTCGGGGACGTATTTCAAAAACAACTTCAAATTTCAGGCCTAAACTGAAGGATTCATCTGTGAGGGAAAAAGAGTAACATTATTTTTGTACTGAGTTAGTGATGAAATTGTACATCTACTCGCAGTCAAAAAGGAAGTTCAAAGCCCCAGGCTGGAACTTACTTGTTCTGTCTTTAAAACTATTGGAACACATGCCAGTACACATACTTGAAGAGATGGCACAGTGTGCTGGCAATGACCCATTTCAACTTCTGTTTTGATTATGTTTGTTTGAGGTATTAATAAAGGTTTCTTTATTTTTTCTTATTATTTTTAAAAAATGTGTTTTGTTTAAAAATATTTCTTAGCAATGAAATGGACAGCAGAAAGTAAATGATCTGTATTTTTTGGCAGTTTCTTATTGTGCAATTTGCTAGACATTCAGCAGTCTTTCTACAGTGAGTGGGACTTTACTTGAGCTTTGATGATTCAGAAGAAGAAACCCCCTTTTTCAATCTGTTGGCAGGCCAGGGAGCAAATTAGAAACACTGCCTAATTCTTCGTGGTGTTGCCAATGAATAGGGTTATGCAGTTTCCTTTCCTGTTCAGGTCAGAGCCTATGTGACCAAAAACCCCTCGTAAAACACTTCCTGGAACACGGGCCTAAATGATGGAAAAGATGTGTTGCATCATGCTGTTTATTATCAAGACATGCAGAAAGCCTTTCCTTAGGGTTTTTGAGTTACATGTTGATTTATTAATTAAAAAACTAAGGGATGACCATTTGCTGGTATACTTGGTCTTAGCCACATTGACTTCTATAAATCTGTGATAATTTTTACCGTATTATAATCTGTTCCCTTGTCAGATTATTCTAATTATTTGAAATACATACAGATGTATTTATGTAACAACTTGTGAAGTTTCATGGTGACATTGTGACCTGTCAACATCAGCTGCTTACCACAATAACAATCTGTATCTAATAATCCTTGTAAGTCACAGCCTCAGAATTACCACACCCTTTAGTGAAATAATGCCATTCTGAAGCACAGTGAATACTACAGTCTTATTATGGGATACATTGTTTTAGTAGTGTATTACCAAGGACGACATATCCTCCTTCTGATGAAAAGTATGTTCCTACTTCTGATGGGCCTTCAAAGCAAGGCGTTACACTAAATGTCTGCGAAGCTGAAGTAAGTGATCTTCCATTGAGCTGTAAATTGCTGAGACAACCACTAAAACTGTAGACAGAGTTAATCTGAGGGAGAGAAAAAAGCGTGATTAGTAGATAAACTGCTTGTGGAAGGAAATAAACTCTTCTGTCCTTATTTGTACGTGTTTATGAGCTGTAAGGCTGTGATTGTCTGGTGCATCAGTTTTGAGTTAAAAAGCAGTTTACAGAGAAGACAAGCAGGACAGATGCTTTTCATAGCCTCTCGGGTCTCTCTGATGACTTGAAGGTAACTCCAGCTTGTGTTGTTTCTCAAACAATCCTTACTAAACCGTGAGAAACAACGCAACTAGAGCAGGGCAGTGTTATACATACCTCACACCCTCAAGGCAAGACAGAGGTCTACTTTTTCTGAGTAGTGTATCTGTCTTTTTAGGCCCATAACACTAAAGATTACCTTGAAGGAGACTTGGTTATATTCACTTTTAGTTTAGCACTCCTTTCCATATACTTCAGTGTCCAAGATGTAGAGCAGAATCCTGACTTCCAGGTGCTGTCTTAAAATAGAGATACTAAGACAACACTAAAATCTCTCTGAAACTCATCTGTATCTCAGACCTTCGGGTGGAACTGATCTCACCTGACTTTACCCATCTCATCTAAGCTTGGATGTCACTAGGATTTCTCTGTTCCTCAGAGACTACTGGATTTCCAGTTGCTGCTGCAAGTCTATGGAAGCCTACCCCAGCTACCGCCAGCACAGCCCTGTGGGAGCTTTGCTATTCACTTGAACTGAGCTGCGTGCCCCTCAATATGCTGAGTATTCAGATCATAATATGCTTTGCCTGAACTCACCCCTACAGTCAGCTTTTTCATTAGCTGTACATAGAGGTATGGGATAATGTAATGGGTGTCTGCTTTACCTGGATATTTTTTACAGCTTTTCCTGGAGCTACACCCCCAATATAGAGTGGTTCAGTGACTTGCCAGGTATTAGCATTACCGCCAAAAGGCTCTTCCAGTACTCGGAGACCATCAATTATCAAGCGACCAGTATTTTTGCCTCTAATAAATATCACCTAGAAAGGGAGGAAAAAGAAATTTGAAGATTACGTTCATCTGTTGAGGGAATGCTCCTGTGCAGTGGAATAAGATAAGAAGTTTGAGAAGAAAAGCTTGTGAATGATACTCTACAAGCCTGTTTTATTAACTGCCAACATTCCTTGATGGACAACCCTCTTTTTTTCACATTCATGTAAAGGCTAGATAGTAAAAATGCTGTCTTACATTTTGGTGCACAAGGCAGAGGTAATCAAGGTGTCACAAGGTCTACTAAGATCTGCCCATCTTATATTCACATACGTTCATTGCTACAGTATATCACTGTTAGCATTTTCATGGTCTTCACCAGTTTTATGGTCTGGATTCATCCAGCCTGATTTTAACACTTAAGTGCTCGAGTTTGGAGCTTAGTAACGGTAGAATTCCTCTGTAGTCAGTGAGGAGTGAAAGGTACCTACAGAGGGAAATTCACCTTGACCTCTAAAATCATCTTTCTATTTTCATAGACCACAGAAAGACCCTAAGACAGCTGTACCCCTTGCTTAGGAACTTCAAAGAAATTTGCTGAACAGAGTTATCCTAGTCCTTTCTTTCCTAGCTAACTTAACTCCTAATTGCCTCACTGTTCTGCCTGTTTCTGTCACTTCTGTTAGTGTTGGGAATTGCTGGATTTTTATAGCTGATTCACTTTCCTGTCCCTGGTTAATGACTTGATAAAATGCTGCATCGAAGATTTAAAAATATTGGCAGAAGTTTCTCAACGTATAGGTGTGGTTATGAACACATGAATGAAAACTCCCTGAGCTGTCACATCAGCAGTGTCTTTACTGCAGCCTTGATAGCATGTGTCATCATAATGATTGCTTTCTTTTACTTACATTGTGCCAGAAGCCATCATTGTATTTCTCTTGGCTCTTGATCCTTATCTTCTGATGACCAGCATTAAACATAAAAATTAGTCGGCCATGAGCAATGAAAAGGGCCATGAAGTTGGTCTCTTTTTGGTCCGAGACGTAGAAAATCATTCCATGAGATGAGTGAGTTTTCAGACTGATAGAGAACTGAGCTCTGGCACATAAAAACACAGTATTAAAATTAGAGCAGATATACTTGACTGAAATCAAACTGCAGGTAGAGGAAGATTGAGATTTTCCTCTCATCCAAAGGAATATACATCTCATTTATGGAAGTGCTGTTTCTGAGAAACATTCCATACTGGTTTTTGGAGTAGAAGTTAAAATTGGAGAAGAAGCTGCCTTGCAAGGACATTGTTTTCAAAAATTAAAATCTCTGGAGTGAATAAAATCAATACAGACCACCAATAACTGACGGCATATACACTACATTTCCATTCCTGTTGAACAGCAAAGTTGGGGGACTTTTTAACTGTGACGGCATGGAGGCCGGACAGTTCACAAATCTTTAATGTTATTCCAGACTCACTGCTAATCTTCTCCTTCCTTGTAGTTTCTTGTGAAGTTCAAGACAACATGGCAAGTTATACCAACTTGGTTTGACACTGTCAACAGTGAAGATATCTTGAGTGATTGGTATAATTAGTTTAGGTCTAAAATATGGCAAAGCTGTCCTTTGTAGTGTAGGACAGTGCCAAAACTGATTAGTCGTCCTTCTTCTGTCAGGTAACTAGCCTAGCTTCCATTCTTCATATTGCCTGAAGGATCTATATGTGCCCCATAGCATGTGTGTGTACATTCCCACACACACTTAGGTCCTTGCTGCTATTGGTTGTTTTAAAACATCACAAGTCATTGTTTTTTTAAAATGCACATTACAATGATAAAGCTATAATAACAGTTGTAAAACAAATATGTCTTGTAGGGATGAAGAAACATATTAGAGTTTGGGATTTCCTTCTTCATATAGGCACCATGAGGACTGCCCTGAGTAAAACACTATTGAATTAAAACAAACGTAATGCTTTTTTTATTTAAGTCAGGAAATAGCACTCAGTTAGTGGTCTGGTATACTTCCAGGAAGTGCTGTGTTGTTGAATGTATAGTCTTTCATGGAAAGTATTAAACCAAAATCCTTTGTTGGTCATAACATACCATATGGCATATTCTATGAGAGCCTGAGAATTAAATGTCCACAATACCTGGACTCATTATTAATTACTTGTATTTCCATTATGGCTTGAATTGGACATGGTTTTCATAGCTTTATGTCCTACTGCACCATGTAGATTCCTAACCATTAAACAGCTGCCAAGGTCCCCTCAACAAATAACAGCTTCCTTTCTTGGTGAACTGTTGTGTTCGTTTCCAGCTCTGATCTAATGCCATTGCCTCTTGCATAAAGAGGCTGATGGTGCATTGCCTGTATAGAACTAACATCCTACAAATAGGGAAGGAGACACATTTTGTTTCTATACAATGCAGATGAAGACTTCACAAAAGGGATGTAACTGGAAACACATTGTATTTATTATTACTCAACTGAAACACCTTTTAATATATCTGTCTCCTCCCCAGTCCATTTAATTTTTATTTGTAAGGTCCCTTTACCTTTCACTGAAATCCTTTGGTATGTGATCAAATTGTTGCCGGCTGTTTGCTGTTCCTCCAAACTGATATGCATGTTCAGTTGCCTTGGGATTCATGGGCAAATGGCACTGAGGGTCTCTTTGCATATTCACTTCTTGATACAATTTTTTGAGGCCAGTTGAAGGCTGTGAAATCTTGTCTTTATCTCTTCCCACCTTCATAGAAAGAGAAGCATTAACCAGAAATTTTAACAAAGATTGAACATAATAGAAATAAAAACATCGTTTATATATAAGCTAGTAATATATTTTTTCCTTACAAAAATACCAGGAATGGTTCCAAGTCAAATTTTCCATGAACAGATCAACTATGGATGCTGATTTAGGACAGAAGAAGAGATAAACAAAATGCTTGTGTAGCTAACAATTACAGTTCAATTCTTTTGCAGTTTTCCTAATTGAATCTTTTCCTTTCTGCTTTTGATGATGTCAGCTATACTATAGGCATAAGAGGACATGCTTGGACTAGAAGTTCTGCATGCTGAAGAGTTTTTTTTTTTCACATTTATATTAATGCATGTTAATTGTACCCAGTAAAAAGAGCCACACAGAAGTAGCTGAGAACAGAAGTAAGCTTATTGCCTTTAGGATATAGAAGAATTCAAGAAGGCTTGTTTCTGCAGTACTTTTTTGAAGATGTCATAAATTTTGTTTTACAGTTTTAGTAAGAGAGAATGATGCAGGTGTAGGCCAGATAGATTGGGTCGGGGCAGTCATTTGCAGTGATGGAGCGTGTAAAAGAATAGGATCCTTTCCTTCATATATCTGAAATACTCTTCATGTGGTACATTTTAGATCCATGATTTGGAGAATTCCTGATGATGACACAGTGTGTATCAACTTTGGAAGACTCTAGGGTGTTACTGGGACAATTTATATCAAACCTTTTTATTACGGTTTTCTTTGACTTTTGATGAGTTTTTTCCTTTCTTATGGAGAAGAGCAACTGGAGGAGATTCAACAGGGCATCCATACAAAGAAGTCTGAACTTTCTCAGGGTACTGCTGGAAATCTTCCACTTCAACCTCTCGATCCAACCTGTGTTTCAAAGAGGGGATGACAAGAATAGCTTTTTTCCAAGTTGTTGGAATTGTCTTCATAAAAATAACAGAATTTTACATTTATAGTTTAAATGATGTTTAGATTTTTTTTTTTTTCATTCTTGGATCATGGATAAAAGTATAGATTTATCAGTTAATGTTTGGGTAATGCAGGCAGCCTATACTACTCTGCCTGTTGTATCCATGCTTGCATTAACAGAGAGTCTCAATCCGCAGCATCAAGTTCACTTTAAAGTCTTCTATTTAAGAACATTTCATAAAGTGATTAAGATCAACAAGTTCTGACCATTTTCACATGACCAGGCTCCTAACTTCCCCAGCTTCTGTGACATGCCTTAATATAATTTTGTTTCAAAAGCTGAAAGCTACGTAATATAAATGTAAATTACAGCTATGCAAATTACACATTGCACCAGGTGCAGTACTGAAAGCTGATTTACATAAAGTTATTCCCACTTTAACAGTATCTTAACCTAGCAGGTCTGTGCCAACAGATTCCGTGGCGAATAGGGTAAGAAACTTATTTACACATACTGTCTACCCTCACAAAATGAGAGAGGGATTTTCATTTTGACAGTAAATCAGTTCTCTTGAGCTACTATCCGAGCTGTCAGGCAGCAACTGCCTGGTAAAGTGTTTGGGAGGATGCTACACACCTAGTGAAGTAAGCGTTGCTTATGCAGCCAGTGAAGTTGGCTTGCTGCGTTCTGAGGGGAGAGCCACCAAAATAAAACTTCTTGATACTGTCTGGACTTTTCCCTGCTCTGTCCTTTGCTGCATTCTTCTTGCTTTGTTTCTTGTCATCAACAGTCAGCTCATATCTGCAAAGGCAAAGCATCCATTTTGTAGGCTAGTTTTAGAAACATCAATGCCAGTTAGACAGCACATTACATGCACCCAAAATGCTCTACGCTGTGTATACGTCATTGAATGGTAGTGCTCAAAGTCATGAGAAGACCTTCCCACTTCCAGCTGTGCAACAAATAGCAGCGCAATTAACCCACTGGCAAAGTTGAGTCCAGAGACCCATGGATTTCATAATATCCTGCGGTTAATTGTGAAGGCCAAAAAAAATACAGTCCACTCAGTGAAGGTAGATAAACTAAGGGATTACTAATAAATGGATGGAGCCACCATTTGGGTAATATGAGATCTAAGCACATGCTAATCCTTCTTCTTTATGCCCCGATCCCTTTTCCCTTCTTTTTCACCACAGTACACTGATGTTTGAGCTTTTTCAATGTTTTTGACCTAATCTTATTTTGTACGCATTAATTGCTGCAGAACTCAGGAAGGATTCTATTACTTTTATCAGAAACTGAGTATAACTAAAGCATCAGACATTGATCTCGTTTGGCAAGTTCAGAGTTCAGCACACTCAGGGAAACATGACAGTCCCCAATGCTATTCCAAGGCACCTTTTCACACCTTCATCTTTTCAAACTATGTTTCTTGGGTGTCAGAAGTCATAGGTATGAACCTCCATTTCCATTAGAAAACTGAGAATGACCTGGTTGTACCTGCATAGGCAAGATTCTTGAAGAAATATGCTTTGATTATTTGACCTTCTAAGAAATTTTTAAACATGGAAAACAACAGTAAAACATACCAATAAAACAATGATGTCAAGTTTTTTAAGAAGCAGCTAGAGAGACTTATTCCCTACTGCTGTATTTAGTCTTACATTTGTGTCTGTCAGTGCTAAAAATATTTTGAACGTGTTCCACTGTATATATCCCAAATGAATGCTCTTTGTAAAGGTGCCTCAGTTACTTCAGGGTCAATTTAGGATTACTTTTACAAATCAGAACAATCAATCCTGCTG